TCTCTTTAGAAAATGTAGCCAGGACTTTTTCCCTATATGTATAAAAGATAGAAGTGGAAGTATGTGTGTGTTGTGTGTGTGAGGAGGGGTGGGAAGGGTTATAAATTATTGGTATGATGTGAGTCATGTTGTAACAACAATTATTGAGAGAATTTTTGTCCAGACTTAGGTAAGTTTGCTCTTTGTAGTATAGACATTTTCTAAGTAATATGCTATCATCAGTGTCTGCAATAAATTTGTTGATTGATAGCTGAGAACGAGAGGTGTCCATTGTTTCTTGCTATATGCTTGTTCTAAGTTTCCTCAAGAAAATAAGGAATTGCAAATCTGCTTTAAAATGAGTATGCTTAAATTCCAGATTATAATTGACCTATTTCGTTTAAAGCATTTTTCAGTATAAATGAATTCTTTGTTGTACTTCTATGAAGTTTCCCTAGTCATAGTATAAAAAATATATAGCATAAAAATAATATTAAGAATCATAGTATATATGTATAAAGGGTATTTTATCACATTTATTCTATAATTAACAAGAAATAGAAATGATATATGTAAAGTTTCTGACAACCATTTTACATGTAGACTATATTCTTATGTACTTGAGAAATAGCTATAAATACATGTAAAACTGAAATTTAAAATAGCTTTGGGGCTTACGAGGCTCATGCATATATATGAGTTGCAGCTATCTGTTAAATACATTGTACTCTTACAGTTGAGTTATTTGGAGACTTTTTAACATGACTTAAATGCAAACTGTTTTCTCTCAATGGGGCACTTTATCCAACATACTGACTCTTTGTTGTTATAGATGCATCATTAGCATCTGCTTATTTGGTGAATTTGCCTTTTCTGAGAATGATGGGGTGATTGGAATATTTGAATTTTAGTAAATTGTAGTACATTCCCTTGTAATTATAATAAAATGCTTTAAAGTGATTATTAAATGAATTTTTCTGAAAAGGGTAATCATTTAGTATTTTTGTCACTGTAATTTTTCAATTTAAAAAATGTTTACTACTAATGAAAATTATCAAATAAAAACAAGAGACTAATAGAATGAAATCCTCATGTACCCATAGCATCATTAATAGCTATTAACATTTATTGTATTTGCATATCTTTACTATACTTTTTTTCTCCTTTCAAGTGTAACTGATCCCTTAAAAAGTTGGTTTCATTTTGGTAGCCTTTGTTTAATGAACAGGAGAAAAGTTCCAACTGTCCCTGTTAGGCAATTAAAATTCTTACTATCAAATGTACAGACCAAGTAATGGAATAACATGATGAAAGGATTAGCCCTGAAAAGTTATGGGAAGGAGAAAAGAATAAAATAGCAACAAATAATGCAGATTTTAACCCAATTATAAGATTTGGAATTGATTGCCACAGATGTTGCATAAACTGTAAGGAGTTCTCTTTAGAGAGAAGAAGTAATCAGAGTCCATCTATAAGCTTCATGGTGTAGAGACTCCACTCTTATCTTTATGTAATCTATAGAGTGTGTAGGTACATTTCTACCTTTCCAATCACCATTTAAATCAAATAAAACAAGATTTTTTTTCTTCTTCATTCCTTATGGAAGAGGAAAATGAAGTTTATTGTTATGATTTGCTTAAGTTCATGTTGTTATTAAGGGGTAGCACTAGGATTTTCACACTCAGCTCTTTAATTCCCATTTGGTTTTGCCATGCTGAGTTTGAGATGTTGGCAGAATGTGAAAGTATCTACTCGGTTTTAACACTTAGCTTAAAAACAGTAGTTGAAGTTTTTGGAAGTGGATGAATCTTCCAAGGAAGAAAGTATAAATAAAAACAAGAAAGAATCATGGATTAGATTTTTGAGAACGTATGCATTTAGGGTATTAGCTGAATAAAAAGAGTTAGGAATGAAACCTAGAAAAGAATAATCAAAGAAATAGGAAGAGAATTGGGAGTATAAAATTTTGCCAGAAACTGTGAGGATCAGAATAAAGAAACTGGTCAGAAAATGGTACTACCTGTTATGGAGAAAGAGAAGATAACAGAGAAAGAGAAGTCATTTAATTTGATGAAGAGACTATTAGAAAGTTTGAGGGAAGTCATTTTGGAGCAGGTTGAAGGCCAGATCATACTGTGTTGACCAAAGTATGTGAGGTGAAAAAGAATATATAATACATTTGGACTACTTTTAAGACATTTGCAATTTGTGGAGATACCAGTATAAAAGCCTTAGGCATACAGAACATGAAAACATATTACAACTTTTTGCTTCTTCCCTTCCTCCTTTTATGTGTTTATATTCATAGGGTTAATGGATGGGTGTATCTTATGCTTCTTCCCCCAGATTACCCAGAGTGGAATGCTTCACTGTTCTAGGTGTGTGATCTGACTCTCATACCTGCTTCTTGTTTATCATAATCTCATGCAAAGCTGAGCTCAAGAACCTTTAGGACATCAAGAGTAAAATACTGCATTATTTGAATTTCAGACAGCATCAAAGGGTTTTAAATAGGAATTTCATTTTTTTAAGTTAGATATATTTTTGTCTTCATTGTTTACTAAAAGCTGAATTTAAAAAATATTTCTTAGGTAACACATGGGCATTATACCTTTGTTTTATGCTTATTTTTATTTAAAGGATGGAGTGGCCTTATCTATGTTCATGCAAAACACCTTAACAAGATTTATGAGGTAATGTATCTTTCTTTTAAATTTATGGTTTTTAAAAGATCAAAACTCTCTCTTTACTATTCCATTATTTATACCAGTTAAAAAATAATAACTAATTTTCAAATTGTGTATATTCTAGTGATGAACTGTTTCCTTGTGTGTGGAGAACAGTCATTTAGTTGCTAATGAAATGTACACGAGTACTGAAGAAAAGAATTTGGACCTAGCCCCTTTCCCTAAGGAGCTTATATCACTAGGTATATTAAGGAATAGACATGGAGGGAGTCAAATACTGATATTAGAGCAAAATATAGACAGTGATCTATTAAAAACAGATAAAGATTATCACATATTTAAGTTAGTAGAATATGGAGTAGAGTGAATCCAGAGGAGAGAAAAAGAATTAAGGATTGGAGAAGACTACAGCTTTCTGAGAGATGGATTTACTTTGCATCTAGATGAAGAAGAAAAGGGGGGACAATTCTTTTATGAATTTGGACATACAAACTGACATATTTGGGCTAATTAACTTTCTACTTTCACATTCTGATTATAGACAATTTTAAAATTATAAAAACTAAGGAAATTTATATTTAAGCATACTTATTTATTGGTATTCATCACTATTTTTGTTACTCGTTTTATCTGATTTAAAGTGATTGAATTATAATATTACTATTCTAAAGTACTTTTTTTCATTATCTTAACTCTTGAATTCATCTCTTTCCCCTATTATGCCTGATTTTTTCTCAAATTCATGTGAAAAATTATTCTTTTTTAGACAATCTTTTCTACTTGGGAGCAGTATGTATCAAGGAGCACTCAGTTATTTTACATCTGCAGCTTCACTTTTTGTTTAGAACCTATAAAAAAATTCCATACTTTTAAAACATTTTAGACTTACCATGTAGTAGTCACACATTCATACAAACAGAAAAGGTAAAAGATTTATTTTATAACACAAAATAATGTCTCCACATAGGATTAATCTGTGGATCATTTCAAGCACTAATGAGAAGATTTTTGAGGAACCTTCAGTATACAGTTTTGGACCCCTATCTTCTAGATCACAGTTTCCACCATGGCTGCAGCCTTAATTTTTCTACCCTTAAGTAATTTTAGTAAAAATGGACTAAGATGATATTACGTTAAATTATTCACAGTTGCCAGCTTCTGAGAAGTCCCAGGGGCTTTAAATTATACAAAAGCATCCATATTTGGAATAAAGGTATAATATGCTGTCCTTTCAAAAGTATATTATAAGGGAGCTATTTTGATAAACTTACATCATATTTAGCATGAATTTTTGTGTTTTTAGTGTTATGTTGTTTTTTTCTCAAGGTGCATAGATTCAAGGTTCTACTGTCCTTTGATGTGTTTGCTATAAACACAGTGCAGTAATTTTGTTTCAAGTATATTTTAAGATTTTTAAAAATATTAAAAATAGAAATATTAACATCCATTTGTTTTTCAATATACAGACTTCCTTTAATTAGTGTTGCACTAATTCAAGGTCGAGCATTGGGTGGAGGAGCAGAATTTACTACAGCATGTGATTTCAGGTAGGATAAACATTTCATTATTTCTTGTTTAAACATAATTAGCATATTTATTTTCTGCCTTCATTTCTATATTTAGTATGTTCTTAAACAAGATAATAAATTAGTGAATATTATCTTTTTTGTCAGTCATTATAGTAGATAGTTTTATTTTAGTTTAATTACTATTTTATGCCTTGAAAAAATTAAAACAATGATTTTGACTAAATGAAATTCATATTCGCAAAACCTCTAGGAAGATAAGTCAGAGAAATGTAAAACTTAAAATCCAAAAGCATTACACATGAAAAGTAAACAGCTGGAAAAGAAAATAGAGGAAAAACCTGTTCTAACTATCCTCTTACCAATAAAAAGAGGTTTTCTGAGATTCATTATATGTCTATGTGATTCATTATATGTCTATGTGATTTATAGCAGCACTGTAAGGCTTTGGGGAAGATTAGGAATAAAGTTAGAGAAAGTTCTTTAGGATTGATAGCTCTTCAATCTCTAGAATTATTCTCAGTATTGGATAGCTATACTACTTAGGAATGACCTTTTATAAAATCTAATGCTTTACATTTGTTTGAAACTGCTTTCTCAACACCGTTCCCAAGACCTTTAAGCACAGCTGTAAGGAAACAGTAGTACAATAATCTCTACAGACTCACACACTTAGGCCTCTTTATGTAAAGAGTAAAGGGTAGAATATAAAAGGGTGATTGGATAAAATGGTAAAATAAAATGGTACAATAATAAAGAGCCTGAGCATCTGAGTCCAGTAGATTTAGGTCATTCTCAGTTTGGAACTTTTATCTGACTTTGAGCAAGTTACTATTTCACCTTTTAAGTCTGTTTCTTTATCTGTAAAATGGAATATCTCCCTTAAATAGATAAGTATAAATGAGATTATGATTATATAGATTTTAGCATAATTTTAACCTAAAGTACATATTAATGTACACAAATGTTATTTCTTAGAATCTTAAAACTATCTTATACTAATCTCGTTTACAAAACTGTCAATACTTTTAAATTCATTGTCCTTTCATTTGGGTTTTTCTATTCATTGTACACTTGTCCTAGCTAACAGAAGTGCACAATAAGTGGAGATCTGTAGTCAAATTTTGACTTGCTTTCACGACTTGCTTTCAGACACTAAGGAAGAAACAATTCTTCTCTGGCATGTAGTACCATAGATATTTCAGTATATTGTTATATAACATTTTAACAATTTTTAAAAGTAACTTTATTGTGGTATAAATTTAAAAATTTATTGATTTTAATTATGTAAGTTAAATTTGGATGAATGTGTATATCTATGTAACTATCTTCACAATTGAGATGTAGAACATTTTTATTATCCCCATATGTTTGCATATGCCCTTTCCCATAATGGATGAGAGCAGCTGTGACACCTCTTTGTAATTTGAATTTGAATTTCCCCAAGGACTTGATGGTGTTGAGCGTCTTGCTTTCTGTTTATTAGTCAGTTGATATATCTTCTTTTTTGGTCTTCAAAATCTTTGCCCCCTTTTATAAGTTGAATAATAGCAGTTATTTATATATACTTGATAAAATTATATGTCAGATAAAATATTTTTCTAATTTGTTCTAATTACTTATATATGACAGCAGAATGCATTTCAATTCATTGTACACAAAGGAGAACAGTTTTTCATTCTCTGGTTGTACACAATGTAGTGTCTCACCATATGTGCATTTATAGATGTACCTAGGGGTAATGATGTCCATTTTATTCCACCATCTTTCCTGTCCCCATGCCCTCTCCCCTTCCCATCCTCCCCTTTGCCCAATCAAAGTTCCTCCATTATTTCCACTGGCGCCCCCCACCCCTCATTATGGATCAGCATTTACCTACCAGAGAGAACATTTGACCTTTGGTTTTTTGGGATTGGCTTACTTTGCAAAATATTTTTAATACATAAATATTGTGAATATTTGCTCCTAGCCTGTGGTTTGCTTTTTTATTAGTAGCAAATTTTGAAGAGCAGAGAATTTTATTTTTTAAAATGTTTCTAGGTTCTCTGTTTAAAATAATTAGTCTTGTGAAAAACTTGCAAAAATCATACATATAATTCCTATATACCTTTCGCTCCATTGGGGATTGAATCAGGGGCTCTTTACCACTGAGTTACATCTTCAGTCCTTTTAATTTTTTGAGACAGAGTCTCACTAAGTTGCTGAGGTTGGCCTTGAACTTGTGATCCTCTGACTCAGTTCCCTAAGTAGCTGGGATTACAGGCATGTATTACCACACCTGGTATTCTAATATCCTTTTATTTGTCCATGATCTAATCAAGAATATATTTTATCTGATATAGATATTGTTACCCCAGCTTTCTTGTGATTAACATGTGCCTGTTCTTTCATTTTAATTGATCTGTATTGTTTAAACTAGAGTCTAAGAGACAACATACATTAGATGTCTTCCTTTATTTTTTTTTTTTTCTTCAGAGTGATGACAGTCTTTGGATTGTTCAGTAGAGTAACACTATGGAGTATTTACTCTATATTTGTAGACAGTGTTATTGATATGATTGGGTTTAAATCTACTATATCAAAACTTATTTTTTATTTGTCCCGTCTGTTTGTATCTTCTTACTCTTTTCCTGCCACATTCTAGATTATTTTTATCATTCTATTTTCCCTCTACTATTGACTACGTGCCATATATGAAGATTTGTTTATGATTTCTTAACAGTGTGAACTTTGGGATTTTAAACTTGTCACAGTTCAGCTTCACATGATATTATATTAATTGCATAAGATATAAGAACATTACAATATACTTGTAGTTCTCTTTTTCTGTCCTTTATGTATTGGTGATATACATTTGCTTTCATTTAACTCCACAATCATGTTTTTGCTTTAAAATTTATCACTTAAATCAATAAATATAATGAGAGTCAAATGTCCTTTTATTTATTTGTATTTTGGGGTTTAAGCATATTTTGATTTGTAACTAATTCATGATGATGACTCGCCTAAGAAACTCTTCTAGTATGTGTTTTCTTTTATGTTGTTTGAATAGTTTTGGAACTCATTTGTTTCTAAAATAGCTAGACCTAAAGAAACACCTGGATGATGTTTCTACATTGATTTTCTAGTTTTTATTTCTGAGAATAAAATGAAAGCTAGGGAAATGAAAGCTAGGAATTCTATCTTAGAAAACTTCACATAAAATGTTTTCCATGAACACTTGGTTTAGAAACCCTGTTTTTAAATAGATATTTCTACGTGTGTAATATTTTGTCATTATGTTTGATATATTATTGATGGTTCTTCTGTCTACTAATTTAGTCTGCTAAGGCCTTCTAATATTTTAGTTTTGTGTATATAAAACATAAAAGTTGAGTTTCATGACGTGTTACAAAGTAAGAACCTTATGTAACCATGATTTAGGTTAAGAACTGGAGCGTTGCCAACATTTTTGGAGTCCTCCACCTGCCCCTTAGTCAAACAATCCTATCATTTCCACTAGGGTTAACCTCAAATATGGTAATTCCTTTATTGCTTTCTTTTATGGTTTTACAAAATAAATATTCCATAACAAATATTTTATTCTTTCTATTTTAGCTTCATAGAAATAGTTTCATAGTTTAATAGAAATAGTATGAAAAAGATTTAGCTAACACATGTAAAGTTTCTTTTTAAAATTTATCACTCAAGTTTTAGTTTTAGTTCAAACATGTCACTTTATACTCACAGAGATTTATAAATAGTTTCAGTGTATGAGACAATTTACCAAGATCCTAGGTTCTTTGAAAATTACTAATTCCTAATTTAACAGATTCTAATGCACAACGAAAAATGGTCATTTTGTTTGACAGTTCCCTCTGCTGTCATCAGTGCAGATTGCATTAGGATTCAGTTACTCTTTATTCTATGAGCAGTCATTGACATTATGGATGATGTGAGACTAAATGGGAAATTGGTCTATATGGGAAAGGATAGAATACTTTCCTCATTTTATCTGAAATGCAGGTACTTATGAAATATACAATTTAAATATATAATTACGTAGAGTATATTTTTTTTAAACTGTATGTATGTGTTACTGCACTTCAAAATTCTCTACATAAAAGTAAATGCAAATTAAGACTTTGTAGATGTCCTTTGGAGAAAGTGAAAATTATTTAGAATCTACTGTTTATCTTCAAGCATTTATTAGACTTTGGCATCATCCTTCATATTCATTCCCTACCTGTTTTGGGGCATAGTTAGGGTTTAAGACAAAAGGCAAAATAGCAGGTGAAATAATCCAAGAATATTTAACCCCTTGATACTTATAGATTGCCATATTATGTTAACCTCTAACTGAAAGAAATATAGCATGTCTCAGAGTCTCATTAAATATTTAATTTTGTTGTATGTGAGACTATTGCCCCCTGGTTACATTAAGTAATATATATCAGATATATTCACAGAGCAGAACACAGTTTCCAATAAAAACATGTTCATCTGTAGACTAACTTCTCTGGAAGTGGTGTCTTCATTCATTAAACATTTTTTAGCATGTACATATGCCAGGCACTGTCATTCACAAACATTTATGTTTTAGGTTTTTGTTCCGTTTTTCTAGTTGAATGTTTCTGTTATTTATTAAAAAAAAAAAAAAAACAATGATCCACAACCAATTACAATAGTCCCTTCCATAGAGTTTTGCTTTCTGTGGTTTCAGCTACCTGTGATCAACTACAATATGAAAATATTAAATGGAAAATTCCAGGAGTAACAATTTACAGATATTATGTTACACATTGTTGTGTAGTCTGATGAAATCTTATGCCATCCTGCTCATATCTACCAGGGATGTGAATCATGCCTTTGTCCGATGTATTCACACTATATATACTACCTGCCCATTGTTGAGTTGCATATATGTAGCTTTAGTAGTGGTCTAACATTCGCAGATCAACTTTTATAGTATCCCAGTGTTTGTATTCAAGTAATCTTTTTTTTTTAACTCTATAATGGCTCAAAAGCACAAGAATATTTAT